CCCCAAAACCCCAAAACCCCAAAACCCCAAAACCCCATGATTTGTCAGATTTATTGAAATTTAAATAGATTATTAAAAATGCAAGTGCTTCCATGCTACAGTAATATAATATCTCCAAGGAAACTATAGCCCTAATATATAGACAAGAACACAGATTCTTTTCCAACTTTTGAGATAAATCTGACTCAGCAGCCATTGAATTATTCAGAGAGGTACATCATAAAGAACGATAATTCATCTTATAAGTAAGGGATTCTAATTTTTAATTACATTTCTTACCAATCCTCGTAAATTTTCAACTGGGCCAATCATTCATGAGATAATTCTGAGGCTTCTTTTAGGCTAAGTGATTCTGAAGAAGAGAAGTCTCAAGATTTTATTTCAAGTAACCAGGTGTTTTTAATCTAATAGAAGAGCTACATGAACTTGATAATGAAGGAATTGATGATCCAGACATCTCTGATGAGGTCAAATAGCAAGATTGCTCAATTTGATTCAGACCTTAGTGGTATAAATACCATTTCACCATAGATCTGTCAGATAAAGCTTTAGCAGAGCTGATAAAAGAAAGTTCACCAACTCCGGACATTGAAAATGCGAGAATTCAAAAACTCGAATATAGATACAAGGAAGTATACGAAGGCCAGACAATTTCAAGTCATAAAGATGAAGACCTAGTGGAGACTTTCTATCGTAGACCACTTCGTCATGGCTATGGAAAATATTTTTACAAATAAAGGTACCCCAACTACAATTCTCTAGGCGCTATTTACGAAGGACAATGGAATCTGAGTTATAAAGAAGGCGCTGGAAGGTAAGAAAATCAACTTAGAAGATAGAATGATCTACCCTAATAAATCCTATTACATTGGTCAATATTTCAAAGGTAACAGGAAAGGATTTGGAAAAGAAATCAAAAGGGATCAGCAAGGAGACCTTATCGAGGTATACATTGGCAATTGGAAGCATGATAAATAGGCATGGAAAAGGAACACTCTGGGAGTAAATACCCTTTTACAAGAATTTAGCGCAAATGGGTCCATGTATCAAGGTACTTTTAGGAAGAATTTTTGTAATGGAAAAGCCATATATACTACAACTAAAGGAGGGCAGTTCAAATGTAATCTCGATCATGGGAAGCTTATATCATATTCTATACTAGATGACCCTGATTATTCAGTAAGTTATGAGCCAAGTGAGATTCAATAATCAATCTTCAATATTTTATGAAATATTTGGGGTTTTGGGGTTTTGGGGTTTTGGGGTTTTGGGG